AGGACATGCTGTACATTGGTAAGATTCTTAGAATAATTTGATTAAATGCTGATGCCGATGAACTCATCTAGCCAATCACAGAACTAAATCTCAACCCATGATTATTCCCGCCCACCACCAACCATATTTTGTAGGTCTGTTGTACAAATTTACTTCTACAAAACAATCAGGGAGCACTTAGTGGGCCCTTTTACATCATTAACATTTGATAATGATTTGACAACGCTTCCTTCTTAAAATCACAGTCTGTGGTTTGTGAAGCCGAAAGTCAGAAATAACCCAGAACCTCTGGGTATATAATACTGACAGAAAAACATCTATTTCCGAAGAGGAAAAGGGAAGGGGCGATATGAGAACAACTCCTTTACCTGCTGCACACTAGCGACTCTCATATACAAGTCCAAGACGATCAACACAGGCACGTGGACTTTTTTGCCTTGAAATAACTTGGAGGCTGGAAAAGAAGGGGGTGAGGGAAAAGAAGCAAAGTCACGATTCACTCACCCCTTTTGGGTCTGAAACGGGGGGTGGGGGGAAGCAAAAGAAGTGAGCGCAAGACCTTCCTAAAATCCTCAGCTCCTCTCTTCCCTAAGGAGAAGAGAGTCTGTGGCTTCTCAAAAGTCCAGGTTTGTGCAACTCCGAAGTGCGAGGGAGAAAGTTTGCAAAAGAGGCGGGGGGGGGGGGGGGGGGGGGAAAGTTTCCTTGCGAATGATTACCGTGGTCGGCGTACGTGAACACCAGCATATCCTCCAGAATTTGGACCAGGGTCTCTATCTGTTTTCCTTCCTGGACATTGTTCAGTCTGACTATCAACTTCTTCAGAGTTTCCTCGTCCTCCTCCTCGCACCCCTGACAGTTGCCACTGGCCATGATGGACTCTGCTCCAAAGCGACCGTCCCTCCCTCACGAAGGCCGGCTGCGCCGGGAAGGGGCAGGGGCGCCGCCGGGGCTCGCGGGGACGAGCACAGCTCACTGCCCGCAGCCAGCGCTCCCCGCCGGCCCCATCCGCACCCACGCCCGCCTGTTTATGAGCAAGGCGGCGGCTCCCCGCCCTGCCCTCCCTCTCCGCAGCCCTCCTCCTCCTCGGCTTCCTCCTCCCCCACCCAGGCCCCAAAAATGAGCTCAGTGGCCTGCGCGAGGCTCTGCCGAGGTAGGGATACGCCGGGCAGAACCGGGGCGGGCCGGCGGGTCGCGGCTTGAGTTGGGCCCGTCCGGGGTGACCGTGACCGTGGCCCCCGCGCGGGCGCAAGCCCGGTCCCCGACCCCCGGAGAGCGCCGCCTCCCGGGACCGGATCCCGTTCGCCGCGGCGGTGCGGCCGGGAGTCCTGCTGGAAGAAACTGACTCAGCGCACTCCCGCGGAGTCCCCAGGCCTGGAGCCCCGCAGCCGTGGCGGGAGGGGGCGCGCGATCAGCAGCCTGGCGGGCTACCCGCCCCGACCCTCCAGCCTGGGCTCCTGCAGCCCCGCGGAGGGTCTGCAAACTAGGCAAAATAAAAAATGAAAGCCTCCGCCTATCTCCAGATCTAAGAATAGAAACCTGGGCGTTGGGAAAGGAGGACACCGCCCAGTTGGCCCCTTTTAGGAAAACATGTTCTTTAGAGTTCCCCCTATAGGGAAATGAATAATTTCCCCCCAAGGATGGAAAGAGATTTTTGCAATCAAAATATGCCCAGCTAAAGGCTTTTTTCTATGGTCGTTGTGGCATTTGGTAGGAGAACAAATAATCCCCCCCCCCTTGGTTATCTAGAGCTCTGATGGCCAAAAGTCCACTAAAATTAACTTTTGAAAATTTGAGTTTGCACTCCGTAGGGTCTTGATAATTGGGGCACACCGAAGAATAATCAGTTCTCAGCGCCATTTAAAGAAAAACACGGGGTAAAGGAAAAGATGAAAGCAGAAAACCAGAAAAGGTGAAAGATACAAACTTCAACATTGATCCCTTGAAATTTAAAATTACTTATAAGTGTCTATAACCCTAAAGTTAAAAAAATAAAAAGAACCAAAGTAATGTGTTTTTCAGGAAGAGAAACCTAAGCAAGAGACACTGTAGACAAGGCTGAACAAAGATTATCTGTGGCCTTCAGATTATTTGTCCTGGGAGTCATTTACAAAGGAGAAAATTGGACTGAAACTTAGTACTTCACAATTTTAGATGGTTTGTTTTCACTCTCTTGCCTCATCTGATGATAATTCTGAAATGTGTGAGACAACTACTTACCCTTCTTTTGCTAATGAGGACATTGAGATACAGTGTTGATAAGAGAAAATTATTGTTTGAGTTCACAGATAGAAAGTTGAGAGCCATGACTTAAACCCAGGTAGATCTCCCAATGCCAAGCTGAAGGTTCTTCACACTCTACCACTGTAATCGAAATGAACGAGCCTACCCTAATATATGTTAGTAAAATTGCACATTCTAATTCAACCTCGATATTATGAATATGTTTTATTGTCATAAACACTTTTTATCTTTTATAGGCACATGCTAAAATTTACAGTCGAAATGATAGAATGGCTAGGATTTAATTCAGAGTAATCCAGTGGTGGAGAAAGGGGTGAAATGGGTGGAGGTAGAGATGAAATGATACCACTTTTGAAAGGACAAAGTGGGAGAATTGCCCAATTAGACATTGAGTCAGGACCTCCATTACCTTTGGTCAATTTCCCAGAGGAGGAGAAAGTGTATGACAACATCTTCCTATGAATTAGAAAAATGCATCTCTCATTCCAGACAGACACAGCCCTATGCCAGGGTGTACAAAGCAGGATTTGGGGTTCAGACTGAACCCATCCCTTCAGCCTGGTATCAGATACTAGGCATAGTTTGTACAATATATGAAGCAGTGTGTTGAGTCTTATTATGGTGCTATAGGAATTAATTGGCATATTAATGGCACAGCTATACAAAATGACCAATGAAAGAGCATAGAGAACCCAGAACCCAGAAACATACCCTTACATATATGGAAATTATATATGAGCAAAGTTGCATTGTATATTGGTGGGAAGAGAATGGACTATCTGATAAATGAAACTGAGGTCATTAGTTGTAGAAAAATATCAAATCATACCTCTTCCTCACACCATATTAAAAAATACATTTCATGTGGATAGAACATTTTTATATGAAAAATGAAACTAAATGCTTATGACTATTTTATGACCTTAAGGTAGGAAAAGATAAGACATAATCATCACCATCCATAAAGGAAAAGGTGGTTACATTCAAATACATTAAAATTTAAAATTCTGCCTATAAAAGGCTCCATCAACAAACTCAGAAGATGGACTGAGAGTGGAAGATTTTTGCAAAGCATACAACCAAAAAAAAGACTAATATGAATATGTAAAAACAACCTGGGCGGCTCAGTCAGTTGAGCATCTGACTCTTGATTTCAGATTGGGTCATGATCTCGGGGTCGTGAGATGGAGCCCCGCATCAGGCTCCACACTCAGCTTAAGATTCTCTCCTTCTCCCTCTGTCCCTCCCCACTCATGCTTTCTCTATCTTAAAAAGAAAAAAAAATCACGAATAATAAAGGAAAAGATAGTCTAGTTTTTATATGAACAAAAGATATAAAAGGCAATTTACAGAAGAGAAAATATCATTAAACTTGTCAAAAAATGCCCAACCCACTAGTAATCAGTAAAGTGCAAATTAAAGCCATAACTGACATACTATTTCACACCCCTCAGATTAGCTAAAAATTTAAAGTTTGATGATACCAATGATTGGGTGGAATGTGGAGCAACCAGAATACGTATACATAACTGTAGAAGGGTAAATCAGGAAAATCACTTTGGAAACCAATATGGTAATATCTAGTAAAGCTGAAGATGTATGTATCTTAGGACCCAGCACTTTCTTTCCAAATTTAGGCCATGGAGACATTCTCACATATGCACAAGGAGAACTGTATTAAAATGTTCAGTGCGACATTTTTTGCTTATAATGAAAATGAAAACCACTTGAATATCCATCAACACTTAAGTTACATATATTCATATAGTGGATTTTTATAAAGCTGTGAAAATTATTGAACTAGAGCTCCATGTATCAACATGACTAAAGAGCAAAAAATATAATACTAGGCTTTTAAAAAGTTACCATAGGATACATATTCTACTGCGATATATCAACACTCTAATGTTATAAAACATTCAACGTTGCATATACTTTAGGGATATATACATTTGTAGTAACAGTACAAAAATTATCCATGGTAATAATAAGTTGTAGCTAGTGGTTATGTCTGGGGAGAGGAAAGTAGAAACATATCCAGGAAGAATTGGAGGCTACAATTATATCTGTAACTTTTTTTTTCTTAAGATTATTACTGGGTACATGGATACTCATTATATTATTACCTATATTCTATATTTCTAACTTATTTCATAATAAAAACAATCAGGTGTATGTTCAACTTCATTGGTGCTCAAAGTAATAAATAAAACAACAGATTAATTCATTTTACTCACCAAATTAACTAAGAAGTCTGAAATTTGGGTAGAAGTTTATATATTAGGAAATAAATTGTTCATAACATAGAAAGGTATAACATAAAATTATAGAATTTTGATCCAAATTTTGCAAAAATAATCAAAAAAGTACATGCCTAATGAAACTGCTGAAAGTAGATAAGATAAACACATGTGTAACAGGGGTTCTTGTTAGGTAATAGAATTCTAAGTGATTCTTAAAGTCTTTATATTTGTCTGTGTTTTTCAAATTCTCCACAGCAAATATGTATTATAACAAGAAATAAGGCAAAGTAATTTACAAAATATAATTTTTTAACCTTAAAAGTAGAAAACTTACTTGTAGAATATGACTCACCGCACTAATAAGTATAGGGCAAAGTATTTTATATGGCACAAGCAAAAGAGGAAAATTCAAACTGAAGTCCAGTGGACTTATTGGATATATGCTGTAATTCAAAAGTCTACTTAGCCCACAAATCATAACCCAAGTAATGTATCCTGGTTCTCAGAAATATTTCATTGATACTGTAAATTCCATGAGGGCATCTTGGATTTTGTTCTATGCCCACACTCCAGCAAAACAATCCCTGGCACAGAACAACCATTCCATGAATTTCTGGTACTTCGATGAATAACTGAATCAATGGAAATGGCAGACCAGAGGAGTAAAATCATCTTTCCAAAGTCATCACCAAAAGGCAGAACTGAACCGTGTGACATTGAGTTCTCAGACTCTCAGACCAGACTTTTTCCATCACTTTGTTTTTCTTAGGTGAGTTTCATTAAACCAGAGAGTGGATATCTAATCACTGAATTTACACTTACCCTTTATCATCTGTGCCTTATTTATACAGAAAGCAACTTTCTTTTCTGGCTTCTAAAGATAAAAATTACAGCTGTGCTCATGATGTGATATTCTCCTTCTATCAGTTGAAATAATCTCTCATTAAAGTAAAATCTGATTAACTGAGATTACAACAACAGAGTATTTGTAGTCTTCATGCTTGGTTTGCTCAGGAAAGCAGTTTCCCAAATTTATGTTATTATTATATCCTCATTTAAAATGATTAGAAGTGCATATGTATATTAAGAGAATCATAGAAAAACAGGAACAGTAGCATAGAAAACAAATCCAATATCTATTTCACCCAAAATAGATCATTGCCTAGATGATGCTGGGCATATCATAGTGATCAAAAATATTTCTTGGGTTAAATAAAATAAGTTATTGGTCATGGTACTTAATCTCTGCTGGTAAAATAACAAAAACAATGACATGATGAATCTTTATTATTACATTCTTTTATAGGAAAAAAGTGACTGGAAATTTCTTTTTAGGAGCAACATTGTTTTTACAACTCGATAACTAAATAGTATCTTTAAAATATAGTTTCATATCCCTTGCAAAGGTAGCTATAATATAAAGGCATATACATGCTTGAGTTCCAAATGAAGAGATATATATCAATCATATCTTTCACCACCAGTACTAGTTTCTGGAAAATTTAGATGACTATCCTAAGTGGATGCTTTTGTTTAAATCTGTTGTAAAAAGCACACATCTTCTTACATAATTAAAACTTTTATTGTTAAATTAGTTTATAGTAATTTTTTGAGATTAATAAGAAGGCAAATTTAGACTACAAAAATAAGACTATTTCAGGATATTCAGTCATTAATCAACAATTACAGTAGTCCCCCTCTATCTGCAGTTTTGCTTTCTACAGTTTCAGTTACCTGTGGTCAACTGCGGACGGGAAGCAGATGATCGTCCTTCTGACGAATCATGGGATGGTCAATAGCAGCCTAATGCTACGTCACATGCCTGCGCCTTTCACCGCACTTCATCTAGTCCGTGGGCATCTTATCCTCTGACATAAGCACAAGAAGACAGGTGAGTACAGTACAATAAGATATTTTGAGAGAGACCACATTCACATGACTTTTATTACAGTATATTGTTATAACCGTTCTATTTTATTATAGTTATTATGCTAATCTCTTACTGCACCCAATTTATAAATTAAACTTTATCGTAGGTATGTATGTATAAAAAACACATTATACAGGCATACCTCAGAGATATTTCAGGTTCAGTCCAGACCACCACAATAAAGTGAATATTGCAATAAAGTGAGTCAAATTAAATTGTTTGTTTCCCAGTGCATATAAAACTTATGTTCATAATATACTGCCATCTAGTAAGTGTGCAATAGCATAATGTCTAAAAATACGTACATACCTTAATTAAAAAATACTTTATTGCTAAAATATATTTACCATCAGGGTGTCTGGGTGGCTCAGTTGGTTAAGCATCCAGCTCTTGATTTCAGCTCAGGTCATGATCTCAGGGTCATGAGAGTGAGTCCCATGTTGGGCTCCATGCTGGGTATAGAACCTACTTAAGATACTCTCTCTCTCTCTCTTTCTCTCTCTCAAAAATAAATAAGTAAACAAACAAATAAAATGTGTTTACCATCATCTGAGCTTTCAGCAAGTCATAATCACAGATCACCATAACAAATGTAATAATAATGAAAAAGTTTGAAATGTTGGAGAATTATCAAAATATGACATGGAGACTGAAGTGAACAAATGTTGGAAAACTGATGCTGATAGACTTGCTCTTTGCAGGGTTGCCACAAACCTTCAATTAAAAAAAAGGTGCCTGCATGGCTCAGTCAGTTAAGCATCTACTTCGGCTCAGGTCATGATTTTGGGGTCCGGGATAGAGCCCCATGTCTGGCTCCCTGCTCAGCGGGGAGCCTGCTTTTCCCTCTCCCTGTGCAGCTCCCCCTCCTTGTGCTCCCTTGCTCTCTCTCATAACTAAATAAATAAAATCTTAAAAAAAGAAAAAGTATCTGAGAAGCACAGTAAGACAAGGTATGCCTGTATATAGTGTTCGGTATTATTGCAGTTTTAGCCATCCAGTGAGGGATAAGAGAGAGAAAGGAGGATTACTGTATTGTATGCCTACCGAGTTTGGGCTCTGCTTTGTGTATTAGGTACCGAAAAGACACACTCTCTGAAGTCACTCATAGTCTAGTGAAACCAATTTTCACACAATTGTGAAGCAATACAACACAGTACTTGTTCTAATGGGAGAAAGAGAAGGACTAAGACTGCATGGCAGAAGTTTGAGGATTGAAGAAATCATCTTGCATGCAAGGAGAAGAAGAGAGGGAACCCTGGAATGTGAGGAGTGAAAGGGGAGGAGTGTCCCAGGAGGTACAGTGATGGAGTGAGAGGGAAAGGGAGAGTGGAGGAAAGTATGTAAGAAGGGGAAGTGTTTACCAGTAGGTCAAGAGCAGGAAAGACTTAAAAGTACCCTTTGGATTGGGTAACACCGGAGAGGAAAGCAATTCTGCACACAGTGGTGAGCTCTAAAGCCCAGGGCAGTATGCACAGTGAGCTGGGAATGAGAATGCATTAAGTGTTTTACAAGTGGCATTAAACTTCAGTTATTGTTTCGGTATTAATGAGGTGTTAATTTTCATGTTGCAAGTCCGTAAGATGACTCAGAATCTAATTCTTGCCTCTGATTATCTCTGCATTCCAGTGTTACCTTTTCCCCTAAATTAGTGTTTCTTTGCATTTACAAGTAAAAATCCTGCTAAGAAAACATATTAAGTTGCTACCAACAGTTGGAAAATGTATTTGTTTTATTGCAAACCAGAAAAAGAACCAAGAGAGAAAAATATTGATACAGTTCCTTCCACCACAGAGGTATGTTGTTACTGGCAGCCAGAACATGGGATCTATAGAGGGGAGCTCCCAACTCCCACAAGAACTTGGGGAAAAAGTGAAGCATAAAATCAACAAAAGCAGATGAGACCAAACATAATACATTGAGATCATTTCAAAGAGACACCACTGCACTCAGATTAGCAATACTATTTACACGTAATTAAATATATTAACATATCTAAAAAACAAATGTATTTATCTGAAATGCATTTCCTGGTCAACCAGGAAAACACAGATAAAGAAAAAAACAGGCAAACTTCAGTGCTCATCCAGGAGAAGTCATTATTAAATAAATTTTGATAGAAAAGTGAAGCAAAGCACTGTTGGAGAGGATGTCTTGACCACTGGATTTTGGACCCTCTGATGAAGGTACCCTATTACCAAGATGAATGAATGAATGAATGAATGAATGAATGAATTCAACAGTTGTTTACTGAGTGTCTGTTATATAGGCACTAGGATATAAAAGTAAGTATAGAGTTTACAGTCTAGGGATGTCACAGCACTGGGTGGTAAGTATTGTAATGAGGGATGTATAGGTTACTATAAGAATACATTAAAAAGGGAAACTTTTTGGATAGAAAAGTAAGATGAGAGGGCGCCTGGGTGGCTCAGTTGGTTAAGCGACTGCCTTCGGCTCAGGTCATGATCCCGGAGTCCTGGGATCAAGTCCCACATCGGGCTCCCAGCTCAGTGGGGAGCCTGCTTCTCCCTCTGACTCTCTCCCCTCTCATGCTGTTTCTCTCTCACTCTATCTCTAATAAATAAATAAAATCTTAAAAAAAAAAAAAAAAGAATCACAACAGGTTTTAAAAAAAAAAAAAAGAAAAGTAAGATGAGAGAAGGCCAAACCCACTAAGAGCTCTGAAGCTGAGGTGGTCCTCAGGGTGTTTCTGAGTTGAGATAATGGCACTGGGTCTTTATTACTCCATGCAGACCAGTCATTGGATAGAAGCAATTTGGGAATGGAGAGTGCTAACCTTGTGTGAAAGAATTCTCTTCAGCTAAGATAATTCTGAGAAGGGAAAACAGCCGAGGGCCATCTGCTAACCATAGTCCCAGTAGCTGGCAGAATAAGCCTTCCAGTCCTCAAGGCAGATCTAATAGTTGAATTACAGCATAATTGCAAGAGAGGTAGAAGATAAAGCCGGGAAGGTGAGCCAAGGCCGCATCAGGAAGGGCCTTGTAAGTCAGGGACTTTGGATTTCACCCAAGAACAACAGAGGGTACTGCAGAGTTTTGCTTAAAATAGCAATGTACAAAGATTTGTGCTTTCAAGTGATCACTATGGCAGGGGTATTCTTTTAGGGTGGAAAAGAGATCTAAAGATCAAAACTGGAGGAAAAAAGATTGTCTGGAGAGTTGTGAAGGAATCAAGGAAAGAGATGATGGTAGCCTGAATGAGGCCATGGCAGTAAGGACGGATTTGATGGATAATGGATTTAATGGATTTGAAAGAAATTTTGGTCACAGAATAGATTGGATTTGGCTATTAATTTGATGTGAAGGTACAAAAGAGGAAATATGAAATTTACCAATTAAGCGAGGGCAGTGCCATTTATCAAGCCAACAACCACCAGAGATGGAGCAAGGCCCGGGGGGTGGGGGTAGGGGGGCAAGGAACAAGTTCAATTTTAGAATCATAGATGTTACATATCTGCAATAACATACAAGTAGTAAGCGGTTATACCTACAGGTCAAGAGCTAAGAGGAAAATGTGGGCTATAGATAGGTTTCCTTCCAACTTAAAAATAATAAATGACCCAGAGCAAAAAATGAAATCTTTCAGAGAAAAAAAAAATGCTATAGGGAAGCAAAAGAACACTTGGGACAAGAAAGGACGTGTCCAAAAAAGATGATAAAGAGTAGCCAAAGAGTTAGGAGGAACGCATATGGAGAACAATGAATGAGAGACCAGGGAGACAATGGACAAGTGTGCTGCCACGTGTTCACATTCGCAGCAGGGAGATTGGTGGTTCCCCTGCCAAGAGCTATTCCAGGAAAGTGGTGTGGGCTTAAGCCAGACCACAGGGGCCAAGAGTCAGTGAATTCAACTCAACATTCAACTCTGGCCAAGAAAGCATATATCCTGGAGATGGTATTGGGGTGGCATCAAAGAGTACTGTACTTTGTATTATCTTACGATACAGCAAGTTAGAGAAAAAGGCTGAGGAGATAATCTATTGAATGAACTCCAAGTGGAGGCCCCATGGGCATGTGACCTAGAATATAAATAACAGGGTTGGAATTAACCTTAGGAAGGTTTTGAAGTAACCTAAAGGAAGGAAGAAGGGGTACCGGTGGAAACAGGTTAAGTGTGTAGGTGGAGTAACAGGAAATCAGAGTTCTACTACAAAAGTAGGAGGTGAGTGAGATCATTTGTGAGCATGAAGGATCAGGGAGATAATGGAGCTGGAAATTGGAAGAAAGAAAGTTTTGAATTTGTGTTGAAGGGGAAAACACCTTAACTAGGTAGCCTATTGCTTCTAAACATTTAAATCACCTAGTCACTTTTCTGATTTCATGCTCATCGAGCAGTTAGTATTACGTTGACTTCCCTGTAGTTCTCTCAAAAAACCCGAGTTATTATTATGGTGGTTGTTATTATTACAGGAAAGAAATGCACTATGCAGGATGATATGTGTATTCTGGTCCATACACCAGTTATATTTCTTACTCTAAATCAGTACATTAACATTTTTGTTTTAAACTACTTGGAAGGAATGGTGAGTTTGATTTACGTGAATGTCCTTGAACACGTTCAGTGAGAATGTGTTGACTATAGGGGGCAAGTATCTGGGCCCTCAAGTCCAGGGTCACATGGGACTGTGCCAGGTTTGCCATGCACTCTGGGAGAAGGCCTCTTGGAGGACAGCCAACTAGACTATCCCTGTCTTGACTGTTCCTCTGTCTTGAATTTCATGTATTGTATTAAGCTTTCCATTATCAATTATGGGACAACCCAAAACTAGAGCCAAACTAGGGTAAATAGACCTGAAAGTATCACAACAAGATATAGAAAACAGCTCAGGTCAATTCCAAAAGGAAAGAATCAGAAAGGGAAAATTTTGATAGAAAACAGAATAAAACTTCTGATGTAATCAGAGTCGAGGCAAACATCTTCTTTAAAAGGCACATCAGTTCATC